GGCCGTGGATCATTGCAAACACAATCGGCAAGGATTGTGGAACTATCCACGAGAAGCAGCACTGTATCATCGCTGCGATCTCATCGTTCGAAGACAAGTTTCTGAAATGAAGCAACTTCGTAAGATCTGGAGAAACCGGAATCACCAAACCGGTGAACCCACCTTGAGAGTTTTCTTGCCTTGAGTGCCAGCTCCCAGTATCTCTACTCTCGCAAAACAACAACGAGGCACGTTCAGTGACAGGTGACAACCGATGAGACAACATGGGATTTCCTTCGGTTGGATTAAACAAATTGACCAAAAGTTGTTGTTGTAAGATTTTGGTCAATTTTCAAGTGGCCAAGGTTTTCAACGTTTCAAAATTTTGTATCTTGCATGAATTTTTTTTTAATTTAAATAATTATAAAAATTTAACAAGGTAATTTTGAGATATTTAAGTTCTTCTATATTTTAAAAAAGTATCGTGTATATTTTTCCTAGAAAGTAACGTTTTCGCGCCAAAAGTTATTGAAATATGTCAAAGACGCCATTCTGAGAATAAAAATACAAGGTGCAATATGAGGCGAATTTAAGCACAAATGTGAATGATTGCCCATAACATACAATTATGCATGGTTTAATGTAAACCGATGAAAATCGAGTCTAATCGATTCGTCATTTGACATGGAACTGTTCTATATGGACGTGAAATAGGAAATCCCCACCTCAGTGCATTTTCTTAATCCTTAATTATATTCTACGATGGCAATAAAGATACGTGTTTCTTATGCAAGATGGAGGGGCACCGGATGAATTCCTTCCCCAAGTGGAGTGCCTGGCAGGAGCCAGAGAAGCAACACCAGGAAGAAGAGAAGTAACAACGGAATAAAGAACAGAGCGAAAGTGTACGCTGGTGTAGTGACTGTAGAAGGTCGCAAAAAGGGCACTCCTCCAAGATCGACAAGCCACAGAAGCGAATTCGTAGACTTTCTGCTTTTCAACATTCCACGACATTAATTCCATTGGTAGTAAATCTATATGTACACACCCTGATTGGTGTTTTTCCATAGATTTTGCTAAAAAAAATTCCCTAAGTTTTCATGCTTTTCCCAGAACTTCAACGGAACATTCACAGGTTTATTTTTTAATTCAAGGTCTCTTCTCAAATCACACTTAGAAAAAATCATGTAAGTTTAGGTGCTCTGACCCGAGCAAAGTCTGAGATCAAATTGAAAACAAAATTTGATGTTGTGATGTCGCTGATAATGATTAATCAGGATGTTGTCATTTTGGTCGTTTTAACGGTTAAAATATCAAATAGGACAGCAAACAAATCTTCCTGTGACATCACATTTAAAACTAGATCTGCTATCAGTGAAAGCAAACTGAAAACTCAATTTGATGTACATTTTTCCTGTTGATAACAAAACAATTATTCAATTTAGTAAGGCAATGAAAAAATAAACCGCAACAGCATATTTTTGAAGGACAAATGTACAGCAAAATGAAAACAACATTTTTTGTGAAATGTGTTAATTGCGTCAACTGAAATCAAAATTTGATTTCGATTTGCTGTCATTTTGATGCTGGTGTTTGCAGACGCGAAATTCCGCGCAATCAAACGTTATTTTTGTCGAGTAACGAACTTTTCATTCACGGATCACTTAATTTTACATTAAACGTTTGCTAACGTCCCCATTATGTAAAATTTCGAACCCGTCACGAGTAGAATTAGTTATTTCTACTGTTCGAATCATCTTCAGAATTTTCATTGAATTATTGTCAGTATACCCTTTGGATTCTCCTTCTTTCCATGGAATTCTACTTACTTAGAGTTCTCTTTAGAATTCACTTTCAGTTATCCTTACAAATCTTTTAAAAAGACTCCTCAAAATTACTTGCAATTTTAGTCAGAACTCTCTATGCATTCTTTTTAGAATTGCCTTGGTATGCTCCACTTAATTAACTTTGAATCCTAGTAAGGATCATGATTTCCTTGGAGTTCTACTCAGAACTACCTTAGAATTCTCCTTAAGTGTAAACTGGAATCCGCAGTTCGTACCACTCCATGGCCTTTTTACCGTAATGGCAAGATGCCAAATCCGGCCAAAACAGTACGGAACAACCGTGTTTCTTCAGGAAAGGCAGCAGACGTTTATTCAAACACTCTTTCACGTAAATTTCTTGGTTGACAGTCCCGGAAGCTATGAAAATGCTGCTTTTCAAGCCACAGGTACAGATGGCTTGCCAAACCAGATATTTCTTTGCGAACTTTGACAGTTTCATGTGCTTGAAAACATCTGCTACCTTTCCCCTTCCTTTTGCCGTATAAAACTCCTGTCCCGGAAGCTGCTTGTAGTCGGCTTTGACGTAGGTTTCGTCGTCCATTACCACGCAGTCAAACTTCGTCAGCATCGTCGTGTACAGCCTCCGGGATCGCGCTTTGGCCGTCGTATTTTGTTTATCATCGCGATTTGGAGTCACTACCTTCTTGTAAGTTGATAGTCCGGCTCGTTTTTTGCTCGATGCACGGTTGTAGACGATACACTCAGCTTATTTGCGGCATCTCGGAGAGAGAGGTTAGGGTTTCGCTTGAAACTACCGGCAACTCTCTTTGTCGTCTCAGCGGCTTCCGGTTTTCGATTTCCCCCCGATCCAGACTTCCTGGCTGTCGACAAACGTTCCCCAAACACTTTAATTACATTTGTAACGGTTGATTTGGCAACTTTTAGCGATTTTGCAAACTTTGCGTGCGAGTAGCTCGGATTTTCGCGATGCGCGAGCAAAATTTTGATACGCTGCTCTTCTTGCTTGGACGGCATTTTGACAACTGAAGAGTGAATTCCAAAATCAAAATAGGAGCAACATTCTACACACACACACCTTCAAAATGAGGGGTGTTCAGGTTTTTTAAATGCAAAATTGAAAGAAATACGTCAAGTTGATATGGACCAAATTTTGACCGTATCACCCTTTATAATAACTTTTGACTCAAAAACAAGTATATATTAGCATGAAAGCTAGCAATTTGCATTTGTATGATTAAAACCCTGCTAAATATGTTAAACATTGCTATCACTATGAGATTATATGTGTTTAATTGGAAATAGGAATAACTTTTCGGTCATCAAAACAAAACTTTATTTTTCTCGAATTGGTGCGAATGTTACTTACGACATAATGAAAATTTGCTCTTGAAGTAACAGTGACCCAGAAATTGCAACATCCCGGCGATATGATATCCAATAGTATTTAGTAGTATTATTTTACTAGAGCCTTGGCTGGTGTAAAGGCAGAAGGGTAACTCAAGCCCATGAATATAGTGGTTTCGTCGTCATCACCGGATTTGAACGGCGATATCAACTCACGATCCGTAGTGGCTTATAGTGAATTGAGGGGCTCAGTGATCTAATGTTGTCCGTTTTTGCTTTACCGAGCAGAAGATCAGCAACTTTTCTTAACCCGGAATAATAGCATTAATAGGTTCTTAAAAAGTTTTCTGAGTCCCAGACCTTAAGTTTTTGCAAGTCCCGGTATCAAATAGATTTGCTTTTATTTCGGTTTGCATAAAAATGTGGGATCCAGGACTCTTTTCATATTCCAAAATATTGAGAGAGAAAAGTTCATAATCTTGACCGGAACAATGTCCTGAATCTGGAAGCTTTCTCCTAAGCCGAGGTCTCCGTTTACTATAGTTCCGGGATCTTTCAAATCTGTAAAATTTCTAAATTGTGACAACCTAACATACAATTTTGGCGGGTTTGGTCCGGAATTCTTGGTCTCAAATCTTTAAAAACATAATTGTCCTTAGAGACTTGAGAAACATTTTGAAATATCTTGAAAAATTGTCTTAGTTCTAAAATTTGGATATTTTCTGAAAATTCTTCCCAACTCGACCGAGGTCATACACATTCCTGGAAACCCCCTGGACATGTTTGCTTAAACTGGTTTCAAGGTACATAAATGAAGTTTTAGACTAGGATAATGGAAATTCTAACGTTCAGAATCTTTACGTTTGTATTCTACATTTCCAAGGTGAGAATTTGAATTCCCTCGGTCTTTAAAATTTGTTAGAGTCTGATTACCAAATCTATCAAAGTACGGGAATCATATGTTTTGTTTTGTCAAATCGTTATTTTTTCCCTGACTTGGGATTTAAAAAAATCTAATTTCTCAATATTGGAAAGTCCTGGGCCATTTTTTTTTATATAATTCCGGTATCATAATATTAAAAAAAAGGTGTCTTATATCTCAGCATTTTTTGTTCACAAATATTTATCATAATCTTGGCAGTAGTTTATCAGCTACTTAGTCAACAAACAATTAAAGGATTATTTTCTGCATCCAGTACATTCACAAAATTGTCTATTTCCCTCATGTTGGGTTTCGCTCTTAACTCGACCAATGGTCTTCAATTTCTTGACCGTTCCACAATTCCTAGATTGTGCTGAACTTGGTCTAATGGTCTAACTTGCTGGCTCATTGAGCTTCTCTACGTTCTGTACCGTCGAAATTAAAAATAAAAAAACTTCAACCCATGTATATCAATGTTCAGTAATGTGCTTCAAAGTCTACAATCATAATAAACAATCCCAAAGGATTTTGATCTAAAAGCCTAAAAAAAATAAAATTGATCTATTGTTCTATAACTTGAAGAGATTTTATCAAATTTCCCTACGTCCTATTGCTGGAACCGAATGAATAGTAATTCGTAATTGGAAACGAAAAACTGATGGTTGGATGTCACGTTCAACATCGCGAACAGTAATGCTCGTGAGCACCTTAGAAGCTCACATTCAGTGGACCGCTAGGGTGCTCACTATGGTTGCATGCAGTAGTAAGTAGAAAATTAGAACATTTGTAGTAAATAGAAATTAGATTCAATGTGTAAGCGTTTACTGTAGTGGTTGCTAATATATGTAATGGAATTAGATTAGTGTTATCAGTAGTCCTGCTAATAGCCACATACTTAACTATTCCACTGACCCCCGGCTATTTGGATTGTCATTTTCTCCGTATAGGTCGTGACGTACGACGCCAACGGGCAACCTGTGCGCGAAGGAAAACGCGGTCGCGGTAGAGGACGCGGTGGCGGGGTAAGAATTCAAACCATTTTCCCTTTGCTTTCAACAAGTATTTGAAAAACTCCAATTGGCATTTAACGTTAAGACGCGGCACCCAGAGCAAGCCGACACCCGACGGGTTTTTTACGCTGTGCCGGCAATCGTTTACGCTGCCATCCGTAAATAGCTATGGCTACACTTTCATCGTAAAACCCGGCGGCAGCAGGCAACAGCAACTGGATCTGCCTCAACATAAAACTCACCGAGACGACAAGTTCCACGACGACAACGACGATGACGATAACGGCGAGAAAGAAGTCATCGTCCCGTCAAAACATATGATCGCACAGGGCAAACCCATTTGGCTCCAAGTGTGCATCGGGTAGAACCAGCCCGGGTTGTCTGCTGCCAACGCCGGGGGATTCCCTTCATTCGATTCAAGACTCCATTGGAGGAAAAGAGAAAGTAAAAAGTATCGGAATCAAAGTCAAACCGCACAGACGACCGACGTCGTTTGAGCGCCCGCCGTCGCTCGGTCGGTAGTCATGGTACTTCTTCTAGCACAGCAGCATAGCACCCCTCCCCCTCCCCCCTCTCCCAATGGGAAAAATTCTTTCCAAACCCAGACAAACAGTTGTAGGATCAGTTTCCCTCATTCCTTACATCTCTAGCAGATGCTAGCGAGCGATTCTCCGAACGACGACGTACACTTCTGAAAACACATAAAACCGTATCCCCGTAAAACGTTACGGCATCATCGCCATCGTCGTCGGAATGAAGAGACAAGAACTGCGGAAGGATACAAAACAACGATCCTAACGATGACGACAACGGCGGGACGAGAATGAGGTGATAGGACTCTACCATTGGCAATACCGAAGGAAAGTGCCTTTTGGCTGCCGTCTTGCTTCTTTCGATGCCGATATGGTTCGCAAAAGGCTCGGCACCTGAGATGTGTTAGGAGAGAGTGAGTTGAATTGGATGACGCCGGTGGTAGGATTAGATTAATCCGTCTTTTGAGAAGTTCAATCGCATCAATCTATGCAGTTCGTACTTCGGAACCATATTCCATTTCCATTGTCTTATCTGCTTTGAAGTTTAGAAGTCCTATTTCAAGCATTATCTAAGATTTCTTTTAGAATCTGAGGTTTCCCGTGGAATACTCTGAGAAGACTTGAATGTGAGGTTGTTGATGCTGTTATTGTTGTGTTGAAATTTTATGCTGATTTGGCTTTGATTCCCCATAACGACGAATCCGAATAAGGTCATTTCGGCTTCATAGAACGAATCACAAGAAAAATACCCTGACGCAGAACGTGGAAGAGCTCCCGGAAAGTTCAGCCCACCCCATCTGACCTTCATCCGTTCGGAAAGTTCATTCTTTTACGACCATGAATTTTGAATGGAAGGGAATTAGACGAAGCAAGGGCTAAAAAAATCTATCCTCCTCCCACAATACTGCCACTGACTGACTGCTGAAGAAAGCATTCCCGAGCAAAGTCTGAGATCAAATTGAAATCTAAATTTGATGTTGTGATTTCGCTGATAATGATTACTCAGGTTGCTGTCATTTTGGTCGTTTTAACGGTTAAAATATCAAAATGGACAGCAAACAAATCTTCCTGTGACATCACATTGAAAACTATTCCTGCTATCAGTGAGAGCAAACGGAAAACTCAATTTGATATCAATTTTTCCTGTCGATAACAAAACAAGTATTCAATTTGATGTTATGCTACCGCAAAGAAAACAAACCCGCAACAACATATTTTCGAAGAGCAAATGTACAGCAAAATGAAAACGAAATTTATCAATTGCATAAACTGAAATCAAATTAGGATTTCAGTTTGATGTTGATATCAAAACTTGATTTCAATTTGCTGTCATTTTGATGCTGGACTTTGCTCGGGTTTCCACCTAGATATAGCTGGTCAGAGAAGTAAGGAGAAAGGGGTTCACAATCTTGGATTCAGAGCCGGGATGCTTCTACCCACCCAGACGAAATCCTAGAGCGAATGTACGTTCACCGTAATGTATATATTTATTTATTATGATGGGAATCGGATGATGGTGCTGCTTGCTTGGTTCTGCCCGGCAGTTGTTGCATTTCGAACGGGAGGAAAAACTTGGTGGTCCGTACATTTTTGTTTTGTTTTGCTTATATCAGACCGATCACATGAACCAATGGTGGAGATGAAAGTGAAAATACAACTGCTGTGACCAGCTGGCATTGCAACGTTGAGCTAAGAGGAAGTGTACCAAACAATTTCCCTATGTATGTTTAAAATAGATCAAGTCTCAAGTTTTTAAAGCAAGCAAGTTCAACTCTCCAGTCAATGACCGATCCCAAAGTCACCCCCTCACAAGAAGCGTGTCTTTTTTTATTCGGAAGGCACCCAGAGTTTTACAACTTCATTGACTGGGTGAATTTTTATACTCGTTCCCAGACTGTTGCTGTCGTTCACTTTCATTCGCCTAGCAGAAGCTTCTATCCAGACCAATGGACACAAACAGTCAGAGACATAAAAATATGTTATTATGTGTACGTACATACGACCAGCAAAAACAGTGTACGATTTTAAGCTAGCAGTAGTAGACTGTGCTGCTGAGCTGTCGTCGTTTGCCACGAGACCATTCGTTCGGTTGTTGGCGGACGATCTGCTGTGGTCTGAATTCTAGACTTCTTCTAGACTTGAATCAACCGACGACGACGACGACAACGACAACGACGGTGCAACAACAACGGTTGGGAAAGGAGAGCGAGATTGCCATCGTTGCCGATTGACTGCCGGTGCGAAAAGAACACTTTCCAAGTGGAGTCACGACAAGAAATCCGGCCGCAGACAGCGTGTCTGCTGTTGTTGCTGACTTCGATGTGGATGTTGTTGTAGAATGGCTGGTTCCTTGCATGGGTACACGTGGTATCATCCGGACAATGGAAACAGCCAGGGCAGAAAGACATCGTTATGTCGAGAGGTTGTTTAAGTCGTGGTAAAATGGGCCACGCGACACCATTTTATGTTTCGGGGATTTACCTGAAGCTTGGATGTTTTCAAAATAGAGAAGTGAACCGATACAAAACATAATTTTTTCCAGCCTTAACTGAACATTAAACCGATGCAAATTTTTTAATTAAAGACTGGAAGGAACAAATAAAAAAATTGGATTCCCCACAGTAATTGACTTCACAACAAACATTGTATGTTGAATAAAAGCTTATTCAGGCAAAAACAAGCTTCTTCAGCTTAAACATAGCTTATTCAGCTGTTGATCAACTCAAATTGTTTGTTGGGTTATTACCATCAAATAACATAACATAATTTAACTCCCTTTGCTCAGTCGTTAAAGGCGCAGCTACAAAGCCAGACCATGCTAGAGGTGGATGGGTTCGATTCCCGGTTCGGTATAGGAGTGTTTCAGGTTGGAAAATGTCTCGACTTCTCTATGCATAGAGTATGATTGTACATGCCACACAATTATACTAATGCAAAAATGGTACCAGGCTTGAAGCTCTCAATTTATAAATGTGGAAGAGCACACAATAAGCTAATATGCGATAAGCAATAAGCTTGAAATGCGGACAAGAAGAAGAAGAACATAACATATGTGAAACTTGCGTATCAAAAGTTGAAGTTTTTCTTGGATTTCAAACTGTTATACATGAACTTGGGTCTGTCAAATTGCTTATAACAGTTTTCAATAGACCCAAATAATCGAGGGGATACTTAAACTTTCCATGAAGTGCGCCGTATTTCACAACAATCTATAATTACTTAATATATATTTGAAGCAAGGGGTAGGTCACTCCGCAAACCTTGGATCAAAATTTTTCTCAGTCTGCTGCAAGTGTGCCGATTGTGCCGGCAGTGCCGATCATAGAGCAAGCTGCCATTTTTTTTGCAAAATACATCAGTGGCGTCGCGTCCACATGTGCAACCAGTGCACGACACAGGTGTAAACAATTAAAAAAATGCGTTTAGATTTTTATAGATTTTATGGTCACATTATAGCTGTACTACTTTACTCCAGACCACAAGTGACCATGAATATCTACACTATTTTATAGTGCGGTTCAATTTAATCTTCGACCTTGGTTTACTTCAAAAAGGGTCAAATTCAGTTGGGATGGTCTGCCTAATCCCTAATGCATTGATTTCTAAGTATATCGATATTACTACCATGACAAAACTCGTTAAATAGTGCACCTAAAAGCGAGCTCTTTTGGGTGGCGGGTGGCAAGTTTGTGAATGGCCAAACGCCTGATGTAAGCCAAGCAGACCTTCTATCACCTCTTGAAACATACCATAAATTTTCCACAATACATGGCGGTTTGCACCACTGGTTGTAATTGAAGCTTTCAGCAGTCACGCGTCAAACGGGAGCAACACGGAAACAGCAGTCTGATACCGAGATGGAAAATGACAGGTGGGCAGGAACTCACGGTCTCCCAGTGTTGGTGAGTTGTTTACCGTTAATTTTGACGAAAAGTTCACTATTTTGCCATACAGAAATACAAAACAAAAATTTTCTTGAGCGAATTTAGACGGGTTTTGACCTGTTTCATATGACCGGAAGGTGTACGCTGGTCACAAATGCCGTGCCAAACTGATTTCCTACGCAATTAATGAATCTTTGATGTGAGTTTCGCTAATAAACACGAGGAGCATTTCTTATAGCAAACTTGCCATAACAAAATGGGCATGGTTCATTTTAGTAAACAAACTAACACTTCTTCCGACTGTGTCACCTCTCTTACTCGCCTAGGTCTGATACGCTTTGGACGTTATCATACTTGCAGACCGGTTTGAATGTGTGAGTTTAAATTAGAAGAACATTTGTGATGTATGGGTGCCCAAAGTGTGCATTTCTCGCTGTGCACTTGGATATCTGATTGCAAAGCGCAAAACCCCGCTCTCACTCTCTTGTCAGTTGTTAACAGAGCGTAAAATTATTGACTGCCTAGGCTGAGTGTGAAAGCACTGCACTATTCAATCCATTGCTCTGTTCAGACCGTTTGTACCAAACGGTAAAGG